TGCAATCATTTCCCAGTGTTTCCTCTTACTTGTAAATTGTACTGAATCTCAATAAAGCATTTGGAGAATCAATTACATTATCAAAAAAAGGACGTCTTGCTTCTAACAAGATGCTAAGTGCTTTTTTAGTAAAACGAACATAAGTAGAAGTCGACGTTTCATATTCTCTTGCATTAATAAATCTCCTCATTTTATTCTGAATAATATTTTCTATGGGATTGAGAGTTTCAAATAAAAATGAAGCTTCTTGCAAGTGCAATCATTTCCTAGTGCCTCCTCATACTAGTAAATTATACTGAATCTCGATAAGGCATTTAGAGAATTAATTAGACTATGAAGAAAGCAAAAAAGATGTTAACTTGCTTCCAATAAGAAGTGCTAAGTGCTTCTCTTTTTTAGTAAAACGAACATAAGTAGAAGTCGACGTTTCATATTCTCTTGCAATAATAAATCCCCTCATTTTATTCTGAATAATATTTTCTATGGGATTGAGAGTTTCAAGTGAAAATGAAGCTTCTTGCAAGTGCAATTATTTCCCAGTGTCTCCTCATACTAATAAATTTTACTGAATTTCAACAAAGCATTTGGAGAATGAATTAGTCCAGCATACAAAATATTAACTTCTTGCTTCTCTTCCTTAATAAAACAAGCATAGATTCGAGTCGATGTGACATTCCCTCATTTTATTCTGAACAGTATTTTTTATAGGATTAAGAGTTTGAAATGAAAATGAAGCTTCTTGCAAGTGCAATCATTTTTCAGTGTTTCCTCATACTAATAAATTTTACTGAATCTCAATAAAGCATTTGGAGAATGAATTAGTCCAGCATACAAGATATAAACTTCCTGCTTCTCTTTCTTAGTAAAACAAGCATAGATTCGATTCTATATGACATATCCTCGTGCAATAATTCTTATCTCGTAATCGTGGAACTCAAGGAAAATTTAACAACAATGTTTGTACGTACGTATGTGTTAAGACACGCGTGTCGGCACACGCGTACTCGTCATGGTCATTATTTCTAATTATCGTTCGAGGCGTTCTCGAAATTATTCACCTGCATAATATCGAATTTCATCGTTGAAGATAATTTTTTTTAACGTTATTCGCCCCGACACGTTTACCTCCATCGTTAAATCCAGTTCGAACGAGGACGTTTGATAGTGGAACGCGTTTCCCTATGTTTCGTATGCAGCACTATGTACACTAAACGTCTACTTGACCGAAAACCCGGTCGGAGCTTTACATCAAATCCGAAGAGAACTGACCTCCCCCTTCCTCTCGCCACCCTTTCACTCATTCTCTCTCTGCTCCTCTCTCTCATTCACTCGCAAACAATAGAAAGCTGAGCAAAGATTTGTTCGGGATCTGCATGCGTGTATGTAAGTGTGTATGTGTGTGTGTGTGTGTGTGTGTGTACGTGTGTATTTACATTACCGATATTAATCGATCGTTTACAATCAGAGCCAACACGCGCGCAAGCTAAGGACGGGGGAGGGAAAAAAATGAAAATAATTGCGGGGGTGGCGCGGCTCGGAGAGAAATTATTAGGTTCGATTCGACGAGGAATCGATTCCCCGGGAATGGGACGTACAGTTTTCTAAAGGGTTTCTTTCTCGTACTTAAACCAACCACTACACTATTGCACTACACCTTTTTACAATTACTTTGTCCCCCTTCGCTTTCCCTTTTCCCTATCTCTCACTCTCTTTCTCTCTCTCTCTCTCTCTCTCTCTCTCTCTCTCTTTTTTACACGAGTACGTTTCGAGTTCAATTCTCTGACATTCGTCTTTGGCATTGAGATCTCACTTTCCCCACCTCGTTCTTCTACGAATCTTTGGCAATGCGGTGAACCTTCACCTCTCCTCTTTGTCGAGTGTCGTTCCTCCCGACTTTCGATTAAAAACTACAAAAATGTCTAGAAATCATCACCAGGCTCTGGCGCCTCAAGCTAGTCTCAAAGGTCAATTAGAACATCTGATTAGGGCGATCTCTCGCCATTGAGACTCACGCAAAGATCCAAAACCGAATTTCGATCACTGGTCAATAGTTCGTTGACCAGATCGTGACTTCTCGATCAGATCTCTCGGAACTGAGGTTCCTAAACGAGCGGCGAGAAGGCAGAGGCCTGACTCCTGATTTCCCTGTGCTCCGACGGGCTGAGATCCAACAGTCCACCGCAGCTC